CGGCCGTGGGGTGTTTGTAGGGGGAGAACATGAAAGAGGGACTTTAAATGTGGGGGGTCTCCTTTAGGGCTTTGGGAGCACAGGAGGGGGCCCAGTTTGGGGCCTCTCCAGGGGTCACAGTGGGGTAAGGGAGGTTCCCAGAAGGTTTTGGGTAGACAGGAGGAGTCCTGGTTCTGACGTGGGGTGAGAAAAGGGGCTGCAGTTCTGGAGAATTCCTGGAAGGACTGGGGGAGATAGGAGGGCCCAGGGTGAGGAGAGGTCCCAGCTCTGGGTGTCTGTGAGGGTGGGGGTGATGGAGGGGCTCCCCCTGGGTCTGTGCTGTCCCCACTGACAGCGGGTGCTCTGGGGGCAGCAGGGCTGTCCAGGGGAGCTCAGCGCACAGTGTGGGGCTGGGGTTACAGAGCAGGTTCCCTGCCTGAGGGACCCTCGCAGGGCAGCCCCCAGAGCTCTGTGGCACTGGTGTCCCGCTGGCTGCCCCCCAGATGGCTTCGGCAGCACGAGTACGTGGAGAAGCTCAACATGCACGGCATCCTGAGCGCCTCAGCGGGCCAGGAGCAGCTCCTCACCGAGCTGCTGGTCAGCCATGCCAAGGTGAGCCTCCCTGGGTGCAGAAGTGATCCCTATGCTGGTCCTCAGCCTCCAGCTGGGCTCACCCTGTTTGCAGTGTGTGCAATTTTGGAATAAAATGCTGAATAATCTGTTGTGTCTTTGGAAAAGACGTTTGACTGGTGGTGTGCCAGTTTGGTTTTTTAAAAAAAATTAAAGGTCAAGCTGTGGTATTTCTACTTGCTGGTGTCTGGTTTCTCTCTTGGAGGTTGTTTTGGTCTCCTTGATACACTGGTCCCTCCAGTTGCGGATCTCTGCCCTGTGCCTGAGGGGGACTGAGGCCCCTCAGGCTGTGAGGTTCCCTGGACCTGGCCAGCTCCTTGGGGTCACCTTCCCCCTCTGCAGCCCCAGGAGCTGTCCCCTGCCCTGAGGAGCTGCTGGCTGCTGAGCTGGAAGAGTTCAGACTGTGCCCCAGGGCCACCCTCCTCCTTGGGTGACTCCAGTGGGGCTGACCATGAGCAGCAAACGGGTTCCCCCTGCAGCCCTGGTCTGAAAGGCCTCACTTCCCCATCCCTTCCCTGTCTAGATTCCTGTTCTCATTGGGGAGCTGATCTCTGTGGAGATCTGGAAGCACAAGGTCTTCCCAGTGCTGTGCCGGCTGCAGGACTTCAAGCCGAGAAGCACCTTCCCCATCTACGTGGTGGTGAGTACAGGGGTGCTGGGAACCAGCCTGCAAATGGGGCAAGCACAGCTCTGCTGGAAAAGAAATGTCACCCTGAAGGTCTCGGGGCTGAGGTGGGCAGTTGGATACAGTGGGAAGGGCCTGGTTTCCCAAAACCCATACAAGCCCATGGCCTTGCCCCAGGAGGGACAGGGACTCACTCCCAGGGCAGCTTGGCTTTGTGGAGAGCTGTCTCCTCTCTAATCCCACACAGGGGCTTGCAGGGGCTGCTGTGTGCAGCAAAAGCCATTCCTGAGGTAGCTGTGCTCCTGGCTGTGGCTCCCAGTGCTGCCCCTGTTCCCTGGGGTGTTTTTTCTCCCTCTGAGCACTGTTTTTCTCTAGCCAGAGGCTCTCCGGTGTTATGTGCCTCTGGGCTAACAAAAATGTGGCTTTTTATTACTGAGCTCCTGGGACCAGTGGTCCCTTGGACCATTCTTGGCAAGGGAGTGATCTCCAGATCTGGGCTTCCTTGCAGTGGGATGCAGCCCTTGAGCTAAGGAACATCTGCCTGAGGCTTGAAGGTTTTAACCCATTTTCAGTCCAGAGTAACACCCTGCAGGGGCAAGGTGGTGTTTTCCCTGAGCAGCCAATTGCCTCAGGGCAGCTGTCCCATAGCTCCCAGTCCTGGACAGGGCTGTGTGCCCCAGTCCCAGGGCCTGCAGGAGCACAGCCCCGCAGAGCACTGTCCCAGCTCAGGCACTGGCTCTGTTCTGTGCCAGAGCTGCAGCTTGCCTGAGGGCGGTGGCTGTCCTGCCCCTGCAGCACTGGCTGAGCCCTGCCTGCTGGGAAGTGTGGCCCTCCATTGGCATGTTGGAGTGTCACAGGCATGTCAGCATAAATATCAACATGAACTGCATGAACTGGAGCTGTTTTGAAGGTTGCATCAGTTGTGTTTTTCTCTTTGGCCACAGCTACATAAGCAGCTTCTCAGAAGAGCCCTTTTCCCTGTCCCAGTGCTGCTCCACTGTCACTCACTGTTGCCATTCTCCTCCCACAGCTGCACCACGAAGCCTCCATCATCAACCTCCTGGAGACGGTGTTCTTTCACAAGGTGAGAGGTTCAGCTTTCCCAGCTGGGAAGCCTCTGGGGTGGAACACAGCGGGGACTGAGCTGTGTGAGCCCCTTGTGGCTGTGCAGGAGATCTGCGAGTCAGCCGAGGACAGCATCCTGGACCTGATCGATTACTGCCACCGCAAGCTGACCCTGCTGGCAGCTCGGAGCACCACGGCCCCAGCAGCGACCTCAGCAGGGCTCCCTGCTGAGCCTCTGGCCAGCCCCTCGTCCATGCAGGTCAGGAGAAAGCCCTGGAGCTCCCTGGGCACAGGGAGGCCTTTCCATGGGTGGCAGCCCTGGCACCTCCTGCCCACCTCGGGGTGTGTCTGGTGCTTCTCTGTGCCTGTGGCTGCATCTACCCCCCTCCATCCTGCCCTGCCTGCTGCTAGTGCCAGCCTGAGGCTTCCTGCAGGACATGCTGGGGAGCTGATGGGCAAAATATTCAGTAGAGGGGTTTGGCCATTTGCTGTTGCTCTTGGAAGCTGTGTGGATATCTCTCCCTGAAGTTTGGGAAGCCACCCCGGGTCAGGCTGCCAGTACAGCCTGCCAGGTTAACCATGAGAGAGTTCTTTTAACAACCAGGAATTGTCCTCATGTCCTTCCCCCAGCTTCCTTTATTCCCTGAGAAACACCTCCTCAATCCCAGAGCTTTCCCAGCCAGCTATTCCCAGGCTGGCACACACACCCCTTCCCAGAGCAGGAGCTGCCTTTACCTCTGGTGCTCCTCTGCACCTGGAGCTGCACAGTAGGAGGAGTGTCTGGGAGAGCAGGGCTAAAGGCAGAGCCTGGACCTCCCCTCCATCCCTTGGCTTGCTGCCCAAGCACATACTTCTCTCTCAGAAAAGGGAAGGAAGTGGAGGGATGTGAAGCACAATAGGGATGTTTTCCAGGAAATGTTTTCCCAGCTGGGGAGGGGAAAGGGGTGCCTCTGTTACTGCTTTTGACACGAACACAAAAACCCAGGCCTTTTCTAGCCAATAGGACTCTCAAAAGCACTCATCTTCCAGAGAGCCTGGTTTCCTCTGATTCATTCCAGCCTCTCCTGACCCTGTGTACAATAACCCCTGTGAAAAAGCTGTTCCTGCCATCTCCTGGGCTGTGGAGCCTATTGTCCTTTGGAGCTGTGTATGGTGGTAATCTCTGTTCTGTTGTCCCCTTGACAAAAGGCAGTCCCTGTCTCAAGGCAGCAGAGACGAGGTCTGGATACAAGGAGGAGCTGTGGGACAAACCTCACTAGGGCAGTTTGGGGAGGGAGGAGGCAGGGAAGAGCCCACAAGGCTCTCTTAGTAACTGTGGGGCACCAGCACAGGGAGCACAGAGCTGCTGCCCACAGAAATCTGGACAGCAACTGCTGCAGTGGCTTTTTGGAGAAATACAGGAAGCTGAGGTCAGAGCTCTGCACACCAAGTGTGAGCTGCATCTGGGACTGAGAGAAGCTCTGCCTGAGCCAGGGAAAAGGATTTGGCACCTCTGAGAATGGGCCTGCCCTGGTCTCAGAGAGGCTGAGCCAGAGTGCTCAGGCTGATGGGGCTGAGGGGAAGGGAAGGACCTGGGTGCCTGCAGAGCATGGCACAGCTGGGGGCTGGGATAACCACAGCAGATATTTGAGTTGGCTGTTCCCAAGCTGGAGGGAAGAGGCACATCCAGGAGGGGTGGATGCAGGACTGCAGCTGCAGCAGGGCCAAGCTTCTCCTTCCTCTTCCTCCTCCTCTGGTTCCTCTGCTGATCATGCAGCTCCTCCCTCCTTCAACCCTCACATGTCTCTGCAGGGCCACAAGATGGTCCCAGAAAGGGAGAGAGACAAAATTTGGGGCCATCCTCTTTCAGGGGGTTCTTGCAGTCAGTAGCCACCCACAACCTGTTAGGGACAGGGACATGAGGGAAGAGCAACTGCAGGCTGCAAGCACTTCTGTGGCTGTGCTGGCAAACAGGCAGTGCTGGCACGGTGGAGACAAGAAACTTTTTCAGGCCTCTGTTTTCCTAGCCAGACTGTGGTTACCAGTGCAATCAACAGCCTGTCTCTCTGTAGCTCCTGGGAAATGGGCCCTGAAATCCCAACCAAGGCTGCTGCTGTCCCTCCACAGGAGCTGCAGAAGCAGGCAGAGGTGATGGAGTTTGAGATTTCCCTGAAGGCCCTGTCCGTGCTGCGCTTCATCACTGACCATCTGGACAGGTAGGGCCCGGGAGCAGCAGCAGAGGATGTGCCCAGCTCTGTGGATGGGATTCCTGTGGGGCCACAGCGGGTTCCTGGACCCTTTTCAGCAGCTGGCTGTGTCCAC